GCGAACATCAAACCCGTTCTACTATATGGAGTGGAAACTTGAAGAACCACTAAATCCATCATCTAAAAGATAGAGATGTATATTTACAGTTGTCTACGCAAAATACTTCGGATCCGCTGACCAGACACCATCAGCGACAACCTACTATGAGAGAGAACAAAGCAGATTCCGGATGACAAAGAAATTAGAGAAGAGCGCTGGAGGTCGATGGGACACATTGCGGAAAGCACACCACTGCATCACAACGTAGGCTCTAACTTAGAATCCTCAAGGACAGACGAGAAGAGGAAAACCAAAGAACTTATTAGGACGATATATGGATACAGACCTGAAAAGAATCAATAGCATTTAGGTAGAATTGGAAAAGAAAGCCTAGAATAGTATTGGTTGGAGAATGTTGGTCGACTTCCTATGCTGTCATAAACCAGCTTCTATGAGCTCAAAAAACGCAACTTGCTTTTAGAGTATTCTAATTATTTCATTGAAACTAAAACTTATATGTCCCTTGTAGTTTATTACTGAAACTACTAGTTACTTGTATAATTAAATTTAGTGATTTATTCGCTAGGACGAATATTCGGAAGGCTTTTGGTCAAAATTTTGACACATGATTTGGAACGAAGTTTCTAAGTAATCCAACGATACTCCATTGATTTAATTCTTGTGTAATTGTATTAGTTTACACATAAATACAAGGTTAAATTAGTAGGTTCTCTCACATTGACTTGTAATATTAAGTCATTACTTAGTTACTCGTATAAATGAGTGCAAAATATCTGAACTATTATTGCATATTATCCCTCGACAAACTTATAGAATCTCTTTTACGAATGGATTTTAAACTAAATTTATTGATAATCTATGAAGTTCTGCTTCCTTTCAGCAGTTGTGGTTATAACTTAGATAAATAGATTAATTAAGCTGATGAAAAATCCCCTTACCACTAAATGAATTCATCTTATCCAGTTTATCGGATAATTCCAAGATTTCTTTTATTTATGATGTTAGTGATAAAGATTAATTTTTAATTAGAATGAAAGATCAAACAATGATTATTTAGATTAAGAAAACTATTCATTAGCTGTATCATTGCCAGTGTTCGGATCGATAACTAAAAACAAACTTAACATTGAATAGAATGTACGTAATAAAATAATGATAGATTTTCTCGGATCCGAATAAGTAGAAACTAGAATTTTTGATGTTTCGTAATTTGATGTCATCCACTTCTCAGAGTAAGTGGAAAGAAATAAGGAATTGAGTTATTCGTTTACTCTAAAAACGTGCCTGACACTTTATTCCAAGGAGATAAGAAAATTCTAATTTTTATCTAATTTTGAGGAATTGGATATATATGATTATTTTCAATTATAAAATAGTTTTCTCACTCGATAACGATTGCCATAGAAAATGTTAGATGAACAAAATGCTTGATTTATAAATTTTATGTATTCTTCTCGTTTAAAGAAATGAAGTGGAAGCAATCATTGAGATAACAACTGCTAAGAAAAAATGTTACTCAGCAGATTTTTCACCATAGATTGGAATATTTTTAATTATAGTCATTTCCAGAAAGATTAGAGAAAGTGCATTCTTTTGGTGTTCAATAGAAAGGGTTACCGTCTATGTAAACAACTGAAATTTCGACTTACAGTATACTGTCACCCAAGTGAAACATGAATGCTTTGGTTCCTGAGTAATGGGAAGTCTTGGATGCTAATTACTAAAAGATTTCAAACTAGAACTAGACGATTACTCACTGCTAATACAGTATATTATTTACCACTAAATCAATCAGTGATTTACATTATTACATTTAGTGTCACCTTCTAAAAAGTATTAATCAATAGGTTTTGCACAACTGATCAGCAATCAGTCACTCATTACTAAGCATGATCGTTTCCAGTTTCTAATTCATTGGAAACTGAATTCAAAGGAAAAAAAATAAGACAGGAACAATGATCGAGATACCTGGCTCCTATTGAGATGTGATAAAATCGGACAATTGCAGCTAAAGTCGACTCGAAAAAATCACTTCGATTCCGGAAGTGACTTAATCATATCTTCAACTGAATAGCCAGTAAACATCGCTCAAATTTAGTATGCTAGGAACGTCTTAACAGCTTTAAACAATGTATACTTAAAAAGATGCTTCTCAAATGGTTCATATAGTGATCAATATTTTTAGTATTCTCTCTTTTCATACATATCTATAAAACAGATATGATGAAAAGCCGATATAAACTTCCAGGTCAACAAGTCACTGTATCAATCTTTATGAAAGCAGCTTGTAGTACTGCTAATCACGCACTTATTTAGGTCAAGTGAATCAATAAAATTAAAAGTATATTAACTAGGTGGGTATCATAGATTTGTGAATATTGGCCTAACGAGGTTCAGAAATTTCCAGGTTTCTAATGGCAGTATAATATTCATAGACTCAAGGAACAGAAAATCTCCACAACCCTTTAACTAAAGTATTTTAAGATAAGTTGAATCTAACGGTTTTTGATAAATCCTTCAGTATGAATTGCAAAGAATAGGTGAACCTTTTGTATACGATCACAGATGATAACTTTAGATTCTGTTTTTCAAAAACAACTTATTATTGATGAATATCAAGAAGAATGAAAAATATCATGTATCGTTCCTAACCACCAAGTAGATCATAAAATAATCCTAGCAAATTTACATTTGTCAGTTTATATCCTGTTCGTTGTCTCAACTATGAGACTGTTATTTATTTTGAAAGTTGAATACAATTACTTGAGCGAGCAGCTCAGTAGGTTCGAATTAGTCAATGTCCAATCTGCAATACTGGATTGTACGTATGCTAATTATCACAAAACTTTCCAGAAATAAAACATTTCCGCCAAATGATTATTGTCTTCATTCAGACACTGACTATATCTACCTTGCAACCTAATGGCTTAAGCACAGCATCACAAACAACTGTAGCATATTAGACGCATGTCGATGAAAAGGTCATAGCATGTTTTATGTGACAAATTTGTAGATTATTTAAAAATAAAGAAACTAATTTGACCCAACAGAGATGTCAACACTTATTTGTAAGCTATAGAGTAAAACAATAAAAATTTTAGATTCAAATAATATCGTAAGGAATTGAAGCGATACACAGTACTTCATTTCCCAGGAGTGATGTCGAAGCTCAAAATCTTTACAAAGAACACATTGATATTTTTACTTTTATATTTAAAGTTATTTTCTAATAAAAACAAGTAAAATACTGAGGGGAAAAACATGCGGATTTTATTATAATAAGTTTAGGAAATGGGGAATATTTGCCTAGTTCATAAATTAACAGGGAAATTAAAACCACAACAATTGTATGAGGATGAATATTTATAGATGACCCAGTATAGAACCGGAAACACTACATAATTTAAGTTCCATCCAACATTAAGTTTCAAGCAGAACAAATCTTGAGCAAATCTATTACACTGAGGTATATAAACCCATATCATTTCATATTCAAACATACAGTTATATATTTGAAAATTGTACGCTAAGAACAGCTAGAATCGATGGCTCATTCAGCCAAATAATGGAAAAGGCAACAAAATTATCGTACATGGAAGAAAAACCAGGATAACCATTCAATGATGATTTTAGAATATATATGTTGTTGACAATTCTAAAATGTTCTGAGAAATTAAGTTGCAACCGGAAACTTAGATCCGAGATTGAAAGACTATGATAAATCGATTGGTGTACATGTTTACTTGTTCTAACAGTTAAAAAGAATGAAAACAGTAGAAGAACACAGACTGTGCACATATGTACATGCTTTCTTATGTAATTTTTTAAAAAAAAGAACGGGTAGTAAACTGTTTAGACTTAGGAATTGCCGAACCTGGGTGTGGATGAAGTAACCTATTTAAACAACTGGATAATTTATTGTGTTCCATAGAATATAGAATATTTATGTAACATTTCAAGGCGCTTCGGTGAAGAAATGTTTAGATGAAGAAGAAAGAGGGAACATTAAAAAACAAATGGATTAAAATATCGGAGTAAAATAAAGGAAGACACTTTGATTTCAGATGTATACATTGAGCAATAAGTCATGTGACAAAAAATGTAGATTTTGTAGTAAAGAATAAAGAGGAGGAATGGAGTGGATAAAGAATGAATATGAAAAGCAACCATGTAAATAATAATTCAGTGAAATAGGACAAATAAAGAATATAATGAAGAGAATGAGAAAAAATTTGTATGAAAAAAATTTTTATACAACCAGAAAACAAGGAACCTGAGTCTCACGAAAAAAAAGATATTCTCAGACTTATAGAAAAAGATACTTTGTCAGAGAATCGATTGCATGGTACATTGTCAGGAAGAGTGAAACCTCATAATTTAATCAAAGAGACTTAAAGCAAATCTACAACAATCAATGAGACTAAATGGAAGAGCAATAAAAAAGCACATATTTAACTATCGAACTGATAGTATACATATATACCACAAATGTTATCTGTTAAAGTTACAATAGATGCATAACATCATCATCAGATTAGTAATTCATTCAGATAAATTAAATGAAACTAGACAAAAAATAATGGTTGTATAGTAAACAAACGACGAGAATTTCTGCAATAAGTGTGCATTATACTTTAAAGTAAAGTATTCAAAGTAAAAATACTCACATAGTGAAGACAGAGATATTAAACAGCAATTTTAGAGAAGTTCAACGAGTCTTCAAATGTATTTAAAGCTACATTTTTGCACAGCCGTAGAAAAATAACCGTTAAAAAGACAAGAACCTTTTTTGATAATGCACATTCAAATCACGGAATGCATATGCATTAGAAACTTTAATGGATGTTGAACTGTGAGCATTTAGAATCAAGATTAATTTTTGATAGCAAAGAAAGTGTGTGCAATTGTACGAATGGTTGTAAAAACCTTGTTGATAATTTTCGACCCGATGAATTTGCACTGAAATCAATGTGTAAGTGACCAAATGTTATAACCAATCAAGAAAAACGATTGTGATTCAAGGAATAATGAGGTGACAGAACAGCATCTTCTTCGTGATAATCTACAGCGATATCCTCATCTTCTAGTTCTCCACCTTCACTATCTTCTAAATTATTCACGTCACCAGGAAGACTATGATTAAATAGTAACAACCATGTAGGAGTGGCAGGTTGAGCAACAGCTGCATTTTGTGGAGGCCTGAATTCGCGTAGATAATCAACGACAGTGGGTGCACTGGCTAAGCCTGTGAGATAAGGTATCAGTTCGCATAAAGCTTGGTCAGCTAAATCACCAAACCACGAAACAATTTGGAGCTAAAATTTGAAATATTTTTTTAAAAAAAAAAACAATAATGAATATACACTAATAAATGCAACATCATTACTTTATTGTTTTTTTCCAATTAGAATGGCTTCACTGACGAACATCTGGAGAGTATGCAAGTAACAAATCTCATACATAATAACATTAGAGCTTAAGCGAGATTAAAAGTCTATCTTAGTTAATGGACAACATTCTTTTAGAATTAAGAAAACAATAGTTCGATTTAATGATATAAACTTATGTAGTTGGTGTTTCCACGGTGAATAACAAAATGCAATATTTGTTTAACAAACATTTAGATCTATATATATTGAATAACACTTAAGTAATTAAAAGATGCCCATTGAGATATAAAAATTAGAAAGACTTGTTCAACAATGAACTTTCATTCCGTCGAATTCATGCTGACAAATGTATCGGTTGCCTCAGTCAATAGAGTTTCACAACCTAAAAACCGACTTAACAAATCCTAAATCCAATCCAACCAAAAAAACCAATAGCACTTAGGATATTTTGATAAATAAATTATTAAGCAAGAGATCGATCTGTTTTGAAGAAAATCAGAAACGATGACAGCTGCAATGAACGTTTCTTCAACTAACGAGCCCAAACATGTACCCCGGAAAGTGATTCAAAATACCCCGACCGCAGCTGCTAACTTGACGTGGTGGTCGGGCTTGCCTATCGTGATGACCCAACCGAGCTATATTGGCTGGAACATATGTTTCTGCAGGTCCTACCATGCCAGGCAAGTCGATTGGAGAACCAAGAAACTAAAAGCAGCTACTCAAGTTTTGAGGGCGGTCGTACTGCTGACTGCAGAGGGGTGTGACAGCAGTAAGGTGTTCCCTCGGACAACCAGCATCTTCAGCGATGCTGCCTTCTCACAAGAAAGGAAGGGTTAGAAAAGGTCGAACCTCAAAATGTCAAACCTCACCCTAGGTGGATGTTATGCAGTCGCAGCTCAGAGAACAGACATTGGTGACCGTCTGTTGCAAGTATGCTCAGATAAACGCCTATTCTTAGCAAACACTAACTTTAGGCATAAGGAAAAGCATCTCTTGACCTGACGACCTCCAAAGTCGTCTCAACGTTGGACCCAAATAGATCACATTGCCATCAGCCACCGATGGAGGGGTTCGACAGAAGACTGTCGCTCGTTCTGGGGCACATGTTTGGATTCAGATCATGCTCTAGTGCGAGTGCGCATCAGTTTGAGGATTACTGGGCGTAGGAAAGACACCGTAAGAAAGCCTCTTAGGGTTTTACTTAATGATAATCAAACTAAGAAAATATTTCAGGAACAACTAGAAAGACAGTTAGGCGACCATCTAAGCGATTCTCATCCGGAGGTAGGTTGGAATGATATCAAAAAGGCTGTGGAAATAGCAGCGATATTTGCTAGTAAGGTTGACCATAAGGCTAGAATGAAGCCGAAGATATCAGTAGCATCTCCCGAACTGATGGATGCCCGAAAACTCATCCTACCTGGCTCTGAACATGATGAAAAACGAAGTCAGCTTAAGCGCAGGCTTTTTATCAGCCTGCGCAACGGCCGTGAGCAGTGGTAAGTGAACAGTAGACAACTGGTCCGACTCATCAAGGAAACTGGTATTAGGAACCCAAATGTGAGTGAGACTATTTCGGAAAATGATGGGACTATTATTTATTCTCAATCCAAGAGACTGGATCGACGGGCAGAAAACTCTAAGGATCAGTTCAACTGGCCTCGAGCCACTCTTCGGTTACCCACGATCTCCAGTCATCCTGAATGGCAAATCGACGTAAGTTCCCCTAGTTTTAATGAAATTGAAAAAGCGTTAGGAAATCTGAAGCGAGGGCGAGCTTCAGGTCCTGATAGACTGACCCCTGAGATATTTAAGGATGTTGGTCCAGTTTTAGCAACTAGGTTGACTGAGATCTTAGGTAGAATCTGGGAACTGGATGTAATCCCATCCAACTGGTCTCAATCACTGATTGTCCCAACCTACAAAAAAGGACACAAGTCTTCTTGTGACAACTACAGGGGAATCAGTCTAACTAATATAGTATCTAAAATATTGGCCTCAATAATACTTCGACGCTTAACGAAAGCCCGTGAAGAGCAGACTAGAGAAAACCAATCTGGTTTTCGACCTGGACGTGGTTGTATAGACCACATTTTCACACAACGACAGGTCTTGGAACACAGACACACATGTAGGCGTCTTACAATAGTTGTTTTCTTGGACCTCAAGGCGCCATTTGTCTCAGTGGATCGTGAGGTTCGGTGGCAGTGTCTGTCATTGAAATGTGTACCAAAGAAGTAAATTAACCTTATACAAGCTCTCTACTCGAACACTACTGGTCAAGTGAGAGCTTATAGCGAACTGTCACCGGAATTCTTTACTTCAAGTGGTGTTCGTCAGAGATGTCCACTCTCTCCATTCTTGCTTAATTTTATCATAGACATGCTCCCAGAAATAACCTTATCGTCATCTGAATTTTCAGGAGTAGACCTTTTACCAGGAAAATCGCTTATTGACTTACAATATGCCGATGACATAGTCCTACTTGGTGAAGACGCTGACAAAATGTAATCTTTTGACTACCCTAAGCAACAATGCAAGCATGTTCGGAATGCGGTTTTCCTCCTCAAAATGGTGTTCGATCATAGGTGTGTTCGAAGCATTGCTCGTATATCCGGGGCCACTCGAGTGACCAACGCTGTTATTAGGAAACGGGTGCTAGGTAAGAATGGCAGATCAATAGATGAAGTAATGAAACTTCATCAGTTGAGGTGGTTAGGACATGTGCTGCGTATGCCTAACCACCGACTGCCTCGACGAGCTTTGTTTTGTAGTGTAGGAATAGGTTGGAAGAAAGCTAGTGTTGACCAGACCAAAACATGGCAGAAATCCATGAAGTCATTGACGAGTGGACTTAGCCATGTCGGTAATTGTCGACTACCTGGTTGGGGTCCGCGAGATGATAATAATCGATGGTTAGAGACCCTGAATGACATGGCTGAAAACCGTTTGCAATGGCGCCGGTGCATTTATTCTTTGTGTTCTCTCAAATCCTCATATTCTGGATTCTTCAACCCCTCTAGTTTTGACTTTCTAAACTTTTCTCACTGAATCATACTTCTTGAATAATATCTTCTAATCCTAACCTCTCCGATTACTTCTAATACCTTAACTACCTCTTCTACTATTGGATTTGAATTGACAATTACATCTCTGTGCTGATGTGGTATGGCAACATGAACTGATGTACTTACGTACGAAGTTCTACGTTGCATCTGACTGACTGATTCAAAATACAACATTGAAGTAAGTCTGTAGCAGAAGTGAAACAGCAGTAACTTTAGTTCGACAATAACAGCATAGAACAAACTTTGAAACATACGTAAAGTTAGCAAACAAGAAACTTGTTATGACAATTAATAACAATACAAGCCTAGCGATGATTAATAGTTGAGTTGAATAGATAATCAGAGTAGATTAATAAAATAAAAACTGAATGAAATTGTCATTAGTGTATGATAGTATAAAAATTAACTTAATATTTATCAAAAATACAGACACAACGAAGGTAACAGTCAAAAGAAACTTACTGCATTACTTGGTTGAAATAAAAATGATATTGGAGAATTATCAACGATACATATTTGTTCAACATCTCTTCCAAGACGACTTAAATCCTTAATTAAATTGCATTGATGATCAACACATGCCTCACGAAATAAGCGATGACGAAAATATGACGAAGCATCAATATAATCACAAACAGGATCAGCATACTAAAATAGAAGAGTATGAACATTTCACTTCATATGTAATTAAAAGTAATAAAAACACACACACTATGTTATATGAATACACGATAACCAAACTTTTATAGCTTTTAAAGTATACCATCAAAGTAATGACTGACATTTCGCGAAAGATACACATAATATATACAAAAACAAATGAATGAAAACGTATCTATGCACAAAACAATTCATTAAAAGACACTATCAATAAGCAAGTAAAGCTTAAGGAGACATCCAAACAAAATTAAATGCACATAAACATGAAAAAAAATATGCTTGTGCCAAAAAATATGATTATAAACATATGTCATATATACTACTTATAAATCACAGTGTAATTATTGGTCGATTTAATCGTATAAAATACTTAGAGAAAAGATGGAAAATTGTGTAAAAACATAAAAGGGATAGATTTCAATGAGGTCAATCACAAATGATCAACAACTACAAAATTAGCAGAGGGATACTTCGGATAAAATGGACAAAACACAATGTTCCTAGGTTAGGAATTGAACAAATTCTGTAGTGTATGATGATACTTGACTTATTTTGATGGATTATATGATTTAATGAAAGCCTGCAATCAGTGTTGATCGTATGACTATATAAATTAGATGACTGGTAAAATGTTCTCTTTAGAAAACTGAAGTTTGAAGTCTAACTAGAAGGATTAAAATCAGAAGACTGAGTGTGGTATGGTATGGCAACCTGAACTTATGTACGTACGTACAAGTTCTACATTGTAACTGACTGACTGCCTTCTAGTAAATATATTAGGAAATATATATTTATTTGGTGGTATGAAGAAACAAGTGGTGTACAGTGGTTAGCATAATTATCTTATTAAACATATTCACCCTAAAACTGACCTTACGAAGACTCGCTGTGAACATGACGCACTCAAAAAGGGGTCCGACAGCTTTAAGAAATTTATCAAGATGCGGCCTTTTTCGAACATATACCTAAAAAGAACAAAAATCAAACAACACAATTTAATAAGAAAGATTTAGGAACAATTACGTCCTCTTTTTCGATGAATTCGAAATACTAATAATTCGGAAATGCTTGAATCTGGGGTAAATTAAAAACCATTCAGAAAATGGAATAACTATCAAACCAAAGTCCAAAAAGTCAATATAAACAGTACTCGTCACCAACAATGAGGAATAAATAATTATCTAAAAAGAATTTTATAGATAAAAAGGGGATTAAAACCTAAACTAGAGACAACAGTATTACCTGACTTATCCAACTTATTTCCTTTACTGTCACTTATTTATTACCAATGTAGAACCTTGGACATTTATATGTGTATCTTTTCAAGTTGCCACACAACATCGGTAAAGCGAAATGAAGTTATCAGGATGAATGATGTGGTAGTAGAAGCAGAAGTATCAGTGATGGCAAAAAACACGAAGTCTGAACAGTATGATTCCAGATGATTGAATAAACTTGTAGAATAAAAAGTAAATATGATTCTAAAACTCAGGATCTAAGGGAATACAAAAAGTGACTGTATCAAAACCACGTTGCCTAATATCTCCAACGATTAATCACGATAATCGAGGAAAATCCAACTAGGTACCTCTCACCTACCTACAAAGCCGTCATCAAAACAAGAAACAATGTAAGTCACAAGAAACTGATTTCGTTTGATTTACATACATTACATATATAATTACACCTCTGTGTACAACTCGGATCAACAACTGGTGACTTAACGACATGATGATATGGTTTAATCCGAGTAGTTTTAGTCTATTCAAAGATTATGTAGCAAAAAATGAGGAGTTGCGTGTCCTCTATTTTATTTGGTTTAAGTCACATAATGACATGAAAGGATAAAACTGATAATAAAATACATATTCCTCACACTAGCCAAAGAAGGCTGCAGTGTATTGAACGTGTAGGCTAGAATTCTAAAACAAAGTATATGAGAATCTATTAATGAAAAGTAAAAGCTCTATTTAGAACAAGAGATTTAACGTAATTAGTGTGATTAAACGAAAAAATAAAAGGAGTAATACGAGCAATATGTTTGATACTTAAAATGCTTTAAAACTTAGATCGTACTCATGTTTTGTTAGCAAAAATAAAATTAAGAAGAAATCATTTGAGCCATACCAACCCATAGTTTGTCAAATTGTGTGGTTTACGCTATGTTTCATAGGTTGGTTGTTACATATAGTAAGGATTGAAAAACACAAACAGAGAAGAATGTTTGGTTGCTTGTGCAATTGTGCTTCTCTCACGTATTGATTGAACAAACAAGGACATACATAAACCAGAGCAAAAATTCACTCAATCACGTGAGCAAATTTAGCACAACGAATTTTAAGCAGGCACACTATCAAAGTGAATGCTGGTTTCTTGAGAAAATTAACTTATCGATTTGGACATCAATTAAAATCAATAAGTACTAGTCACATTGTATTTTGCAAACACGGAAGTCAAATGAACTTATGATTATAGGAAGATATTTTTATCAGACAATGATAGTAAACTGAAATCAGAGAGCAAATATAAATGAAAGCTTTTTAAATTATTAATTAAGTGAATAACTAGGGTGTAAAAAACACGATAAGTCCCTGAAGAATTTCTAGCCATGCGGGGACCGACTTTTGCTAATCGTAAACGTTGGTTGTGGTAAAGTCAAATGAATCAGATTTAAATCTTGTGGGCGGATTTAGAACAGCGTATACAGCTGGAACAATAATACATGTTGTTCGGAGTACGATTTCAAGAGATCGAGGATACCATGTTGTAAACAGAGGGTTGCAAATAAGAAAAAAGGTCGAACTAGCATGGAATAAGTAATAGAAAAAGAAGTAAGAAAGGGGTTTAGTTATGCGTAGCATCGATTAAACAGAGTGGCCTTGAAAAAGAGACTGGTTTAGTATTTAAGGTTCTATTATGCATAGAAAAGTTGATCAAGGTCAGTTACTTTGTGCTTTACAAACTACGCCATATTTTAAAAACCGACTTTTCCAGAACCTTCTCCTGTCTGTAGGAAGGTAGCGTCCTAGCAAGCAAATACTATAAGTCAGTCGAGTCGACAATATAACCTAGTTCTTGAACTGTGTGTGCTCCTTATGTTTCTAAACGATATCCAAACGACCTGTTTAAGACAATATGAGCAAAAATAAAAACGAACTTTGTGTCATTGATCACACATTAGTGAATCATAAATTATTTTGTTTCGCTCAAAGTATTATTGCAAAACAAACGAAAGAGGCTATGTACAACATTTATTCTTTTTAGAAGTAACCTCTTATCCATAACCTCGAGATAAGGATTACCATACTCCTAGTGAGGATTTGTTTCATTTCTAATTGTTTTTACTCATAAACGATAAAAGTTTCCAATAAGTCTAAACATCAAGTAATTGATTGGGAATACTCATACAGGTATGTGATGAGATACAATAAAAGTAATTGGACTGATTGATGATTAATGTTCAGAGGCAAGTCAGTTAAAAAAAGAACTGTTACAGGTGCATAGTCCAAACGGTTAATGTTTGGTTATTTAACTTGGCAGTAGCAAAATAACGATATGATGCTTCACAATATCAGATTTTTTTCAACTTTATGCCAAGCAATCACATCATAAGACTCCATAGAGTTAAACCCTACAGAATGAAGTAAACAAGTAATGGCTTTAATTAAGCAAGGGAAATTTTCTTTCCAAAAATGTCATTTACTATCATACAGGTATTTTATATGTAGTAGTTTATAAAGCGGAAGGATGTAGCGTCATTAACAAAGTTATCAAAAGCGTTGAGTATCAAAAATAAGTTATGTAATAGTTAGAGGGAAATAAAATGTAGCACATTTTTATTCCCAAATCTGTTATAAATACGATTGTACGTTCGTCTGAAAAATCTTTGCTGAACTGTTAAATGATGTTTGTTAAATGATGCAATGAGTATTTTTATGCAGTAAAAATGGATAAATTAAATGAATAAAAATAAATTAAATCTAATAAATTATCACGCATATTAAAAGTAGATTTAACTAACTTGTTGAATAGTGCCATTGATTTCCACAGGAACAATAAAATCTGCGTTCTCTACATACTGTAAATTGAAAAAAAATATTTAAAGTGTATGAAACTTGTAGATGCAAACAAATATAAATATTAGAAATAATTTCTGAATTCCTGACTATTATAAAAACTCAGAAGACCTAAGAGTTAAAGAACAAAAATGTTAAATAAAGACAACTTTTGTATATCTATTCCGATCTAATTAGAATAAACTATACCATATACTGTCGATGAAATAGATATGATTAGGGTAAATATATAATTTAGCATTTTTTTTATCAGTAAAAAATCCGCATTTTTTGACATATTAAAAGTTGTAACAAACCCAATTTATTAATTATTGAAGCATCCGTCTTTTTATTTCTTTCGTCTAAATACACGAAGTTAGTAAAGAATGTCAATGAACTTGAATAATAAGCTCAAACTATTATGCTTATAACAAAATCTCTAGGTCTTTTATAAAGGTTAGTAAGAGATCTGAAGATGCATGTTGCTAACAAACCAGAAAATACTTTTTTAAAAACATTCTCAGACGGTCAATTTTTCCTTTAATTGATGTAAGCTTACAACAAATCACTCTTGTATGAACTCTAACAACCAGATACAAAGGATTCGACACACAGAACTCCATACTAATAAAACATTAAATTATTCTGAAAAGAAAGAGCGTCATTATAATCTAGTTCATCAGCAATCACATTTTTTAAATCTGATTCCCCAAAATTGTATTTCAATCACTTTTATAGTAAAAACACTACAAAAACTCATGGCAGTTCAAAATTTTCATCATAGAGTCCACTTAAAAGTTCAGTGTTAATTGTCAAGTAAGACACTAAGATTATCTGATATGTTGTTTATAAAGGTTCTAATAAATAAGTGTAACTAAATATTGTCATCTACATTAGTTGGATACACTAAGAGACGATTCAAAATAGTACAGAGACATTCGTTATCTTTCTTGTGGTCTTGAGAATCTTAGAGTGCAAAACCCATCAGATCGTTTAGTTATCTTTTCTAACCTTATACGTTTTAAAGTCCACATTATTATTTACTATTCTTCCACCGCTATCCAATGTTACAGCTCCAAACTATGCAATTTTTGTTAGCTGTTGTGTATTTGTGACAGATTCAGTTTGTCATGAAGTGTACTGCAAATCGACGACTGGATTAGACATCTTTTTTAAGCAGTATACTTGACTGACATTATTTCTGAAGGAATGACACTTAAGGATGGAATTAATGAGTTATAACCATGATATCGAGGTGTTATGAACTGTAAATGCTATGACGCATTTTGTACTGAAAAAGTACATAATAGCTTGGTTTTAAACATAATTTACGGATGCTTTATCAAATAATAGTTGAAATGTATAGCAGAAGAAAACGTAGCTATCACTTAGTATCGCAAAACTTGAATTGTATATCTTTTTCGATTTTGAAAAAACACTCGGGATAATATCCTAATGAAGTCACACGACTCTTAATTTTATCGCACACAAGTATGAAACTACACAGATAATCGTTTATTAAATTGCGCACGGGCATATATAAACAAACATCGACTAAATATGATTGATAAACAGTGATAAATATAAACTAACTATCCAGTAGCAATGAAAAAGATTCCTGCACACTTTAGAGACAGATCGATGACAAAGTAAAAAGCTTAAAGAAAGATAAATAAAAGAGGAGCTATATCGGAAAAGTTTACTTTATAAAATAAAACCATTTTCCTGACTCTAAGATTCGTTAAGAAAATCAAAATGACAATAATATTTATTTGATGAAGAAAATTTAAGGAAGCGAATTCTTACATGATTACATTGGTTCAGGTTACTACAATTCTTAATCAAATAGGACAATAAAATGATCTTAGGGGAAAATCTCGGTCAACAAAAGCACACAGGGATAGAATTTTTCCTATTCATTAACATCATATGAAGTGATAGCTCAAAGTAAACGGGTAGTAAGCTCTTATCTTATCCCAACTGCTTTACTTGATATCAATAACCATCATGAAAACGGTGGCTTGAAGTAAAGCACATAAACTTGTACTTAGCGAATAAGTCAACTAATATCTTCACAACAGTTATTAGTAACCTTTCGGGTGAAAATTATACATAAATTGATGAAACGATGAAAATTCACCAACTTAAGTGATTTGTGATGTGTCACATAACCAGCTACCATCTGTACAAACAAGAAACTGCACCAGAAAGCAGGCTCTAACTTGGAATTCTCAAATGGAAAGACAACTAGGAAGATTGAAGAACATTATTGCACTGGAAATTAGAGGCAGGGATTAAAAGAATGAATAGCATCTGGCAACAACTGGAAACGAGAGTACAGGACATAGTTGGTTAAAGAATCCCGGTCGGTTGCTTACATGCAACGAGAGGTCTAGAAGTAAAGCCTCCTCGGATCAAATCTGAGAAATAATCATGGTTTATAATAACATGGAATAAATCACATCATAATGTTAAATAGTTTAGCTCTGTGATCGAATCCTAAAACCAGTTTGATAAAACCATGGTTGGAAGTCGAAGGTTTGATAAGGTGTTTATTGGTATATACGACAATCAATAAGCTTCTATTTGATACGATGCAAAATTATACAAAATCGGTCAACATGCACTGAAGTAACCTTGGAGAGATATGTACCTAATACCATCTGCCAACAACCGTCTGAATACGTTTCCGAACTAAGCTTACTTACCACGGTAACATTCTGATCGAAGTGAAAAAGTGGTAATCCATGCGGTCGGTTAAAACGGCGAACTTCGTACGTACGTACATACGTTTGGGTCGCCATACCACATTAGCATAAAGATGCAATTGTCACTTCAATTCCCATCGTAGTCGAAATAGTAGAAATATTAGCAGTAAGGGAGAAGATTAAAGTTCGAAGATATAATACCAGAAGTATAATCCAGTGAGATAAATTTAGAAAGAGAGAGGTAATGAGGAATTCAGAAGAGAAGAAATTGAGAGAACACAAAGAGTGGATGCACCTCCCCGGGCAGATGGCGGTTGGGCATTCGTAACACATGTTCTAACCACCTAAACTGATAAAGTTTCAAAACTTCCTCTATTGATTTTCCATCCCTACCTAGTACTCATTTGTCCCAGGATACACGAGCAATGCTTCGACAAAATCCATAATCGAATATTAGTAACCTACGAATATATTCTACTCTAACCGATCATGTTTCACAGTCATAAAGTAAGACGGAGCGAACTGTTGCGCAGTACACTTGTCCTTTGGTTAGCAAACGGATATCTCGCCCACACCATAAGTGACGCAAGTTGGCAAAAGCAAATCGACCCTCACATATCCGTGCAGAGATTTCGTCACACACCAGGCCGTCAGCACTGATGAGACTCCCGAGATAAGTGAAGCGGTCGACATGTGATACCACCTTTACTCCCTATCACTAGTTCAGGTGCCGATGCAACCCAATCCTGAAGCAACATTTTGCATTTTGAGGAGGAAAACCGCATTCCGAACATGCTTGCATTGTTGCTTAGGGTAGTCAAAAGATTACATTTTGTCAGAGTCTTGACCAAATAAAACTATGTCATCGGCATATTCTCAGTCTACAAGTCAGTCGAAGATAATGTTAACTTTAAAAGCATGTCTATGCCGAAGTTAAACAAGAATGGATAAAGTGGACAACCCTGACGGACATCACTCGAAGTAGTCAATTCCGATGACAGTTCGCTATAAGCTCTCACTCGACCAGTAGTGTTCGAGTAGAGGGCTTGTATAGGGTTAACGTACTTCTTTGGTACACCTTTTAATGACAGACTCTACCACAGAACCTCACGATCGACAGGGTCAAATTCCCCTTTAAGGTCGAGGACTACTACTATTGTGGGACGACTGAACGTGTGTCTATGTTCTAGGACCTAACGTAGTGTGAATATCTGGTCTATACATCCACATCCAGGTCCGAAACTAACCTCGTTTTCTCTAGTCTGCTCTTCACGAGCACTAATTAGGCGTCCAAGTATTATCGAGGCTAACAATTTAGACACTATTAGTTAGACTGATTCTTCTGTGATTGTAACAAGAGGACTTTTGTCCTGTCTTATAGACTGGGACGATCAGTGTTTGAGACCAATTAGGAAAGATTATGCCTAGTTCCCGCATTCTACCTAAGATCTCAGTCAGTCTAACTGTTAAAACTGGACCACCATCCTTGAAAATCTCGGGGGTAAGCTTGTCAGGCCCTACTACTCCTCGTCGTTTTGGATTTCTATGGCTTTTTTAATGGCATGTGATTTATTTTTTGAAAATTAGGGAAGCAGTTCGAGCAAATGCTTAGATTTATCTCCTTTCCTGTTTATTATTCGAATGCTGTGTCTGTATTGATGTAATTATATTCTGGTGTGCTAACCAACTATCTCATTTTGAATGGCACCAAACTGTTCCGTTTCATTTCATTATTTGTGGCACATTTGTGATATGCATTAGTATCAATGTGTTTTGTTTCATGTAAAAAGTTGAAGAATCCTAAATGGAACGAAACATGCATCATGGATTCTAATGCTAGCCATGATCTATCTTTTCTGTATAACCCCCAAAACTATATACGTAACTAAACTGATTCGTGGATAACAACAATAACTTATCAGAAAAAAGAATGATATAAAGCTTACTTTGAAGGAGCTATGTACCAAAGTTTCATCCAAATCCAAAACCAAGCACTTTTTATTCACACAGTCTGAGTCAACTTCACCCAACAGATCTATTCCAGGTGGTGACTTGAAAAGAAAATAGTCACATTTATGAGTTTCATTGGTTAGTCTTGATAATATTTTGGATCAAAATAATTTAATAGTAAGAATGAAAAACACGAATTAACAGTAATTATTGAAGAAGAATCTTCCAACTATACGCTCATCAAAACAAGAGCTGACTTTCACTTACTGCTTATCAACGCAAGTAACTTCTGATGTATCCTTTTCTGAAGCTTCCGTAAAACTTTTAATAAATTCATTTGTCTAAAAACGTCACAGAAGCACTGTTCAATATCAAGACCTCTAGAGTCAGTAATTAAAGCCGGCTTAGTCTGTTCAAACCGGAACACAATAGGAAATTGCTTTTAATGAATCTCTACCAACATAAGAATAGTACAAACTATTATTGGAATCATTGTTCAATTTTTTGATAGTTTACAAAAGTCGGGCTCGTATTCTTTGATTAAGTTTCAAAGTACGTCCTTAGCAAGTATGAGATAGAGAGTCGATACATTACGTTTATGACAAAAAGTTTGGACAATCTCCAATGAGTACAAGAAATTATTCATAAATACATATCGTGGCAGACGGGCACGTCGAAGGCTGTCAACCAACAATTTACTTTACTGACCGAAGAGATAACATTTACTTTGACAAAACCAAATGTTGGATAATAACGCCATTGAATGCCAGCTCGATGGTTTGTAGATTAAGCATTTGCACGTGAGATCGAAGGTCTGGTTTACTAAGATGCTATTCTTAATAATCGTAGATAATTGTAACATAATCTAGGTAGGTGGCAACTATGTGAATGTCAGACGGTTTTATCTATTCATCGTTAAATGATAGCTGTATAAGCCTTTACATCAAGTGGTTAGTACTTAAGGATCACTTTCATTTGAAGACATATATCACTAAAATCCAGTTTAGCAAAAGAACAGACCTACAATCCAGTTAGAGAACAGGAGTCATGAGACCTGCCAGCTGACAATTTTTTCGTCGATTTTGGCGATACACGAAGGTAAAGAAAACACTGACAAACTGTTCGAACAGTTTAGAAGCAAGATTTCCAGATTTCAGTCAGTCAGTCAGATGCAACGTACAACTTCGTGCATAAGTACATCAGTTCATGTTTTCAAACCACATTATGGCAGATTTATTGGGATGTTGCAGTAAGCTACATATAAAACTTGTTGATACATCATTTAATGGAATGCAATCAAGCTAATCTGGTTATGGTAGGTTTAGATCAACATATACATGGATAACTTCACTCTATATTAAATATTGTACTTGCTTATTTCTTAACTTACAAGCTCAAGATTTTCGGAAGCAGCATCACCTTGTCCACCATTTCTATTGTAACTGATAGAATATTGGTCATGAGGGAAACTGCTTGGAATAAAATGATTACCATCAGAGTTGTCACACTCAACCCAAGGTGAATGCAAAGTCTGTAACTGTTGATGAATCACATGATGTGTAGATTCAGCACCAATATTACTTTCTACCGGTGTAATCGGATTCTGTCGTTCAGCATTATCAGTGAGTTTTATGCAGTATACATCATTGGATGTGTGACGTTTTAAGGCAGCAAATCGAAAAGGATTATGTGACTTAGATGTGTTGATATTCACTTCGACAGTTGACCTTAAAAGTGTTGACTCCACACGATCATCGGGATCGTTGAGACTGTAAGCGTTCGACACTGAAGCTGAATGAACAGAGGAACCATCAGCTTTCGATCCTAAAGCATTCAAAACTGTACTGGGGAGAACAGGTTGGAAAACTGATACAGTAGGCAATGATATTTCTTCTGTGTGTAACGGGGAAATTGCTTGGTCAGTTGTATATTCAACCATATCATTAGCTGACAAGCTTTTTGATTTTTGGGAGTGTTCTTGGCCTTTAGATCTTGACGGCTTCGTTGATTTTTTACTAACGAGATCATTTACTTCCTTGGAATTAGATGTATTATTACTGGAAGATGGAGATTTTACAAACAAATTTTCTTTGACAGAAAAGGAGTCTTTTTGTTTCGATAGGAATGAATGACAGGATTTATCAGGAAAACAACAAACAAAACGCAGCCATTTCTTCCGAGGCTTTGATGGTTTTGCAACAGTATGACAGGGTAAAACTTCTTTGGGCCCTTGCTTGCTAATTTCATGTGCTTGAAAGTTGGAAACAATTAACATATTTATAAAATTATATCACTCAATCAATTTCGAAAACACAAGACCATCGATAAAACTAACAAAAATGTAAAATAGGGCGATCTCTACAGCCCTTCTGGGGTTACTGCCGGTCTAGAGCCCAGATAAATGACGGTTTGGCAAAGGGCTAGAGACCACATTCCGTAGAAAAACGGCTCGTAAAAAGGTGCTTACCAGAAAAAAATCAAACTTAATCAACCAATGTGTAATATGCTGTCAGGCAGCCGTAAATAACGTAGGATATATAAAAAATATTCATTATTTCAGCACAAAAGGGGAAATCGAGAATATGGACGCTTTAAGTTAGCCTCACCCATGTACATCTTACTATTGTTTGTGGTCTACAACCTCCAAGGGATGCAGATACCTATATACGTCTTTTGAGAAAAATTGAGCAAGAATCTTTGACAAAACTATAAAAGTTACTGGAGAGTGTCAGAGATCAGTAGGCCTTAAACATGATACTGGATTGTTTAAGCAACCAGAACAGTTCGGTGTAGTATATGCAGTGGCAGAATCAAAACAAACACTCCGCCAACGTTCTCAAGCTAGTAGCAGGAAAATACCTCCTTCAGCTTGTTAACACTGTCGTAAATGGGATTTTACCTAATTCTTCCATTTCAAGGAGCACTGTTTTCAGCAATGAAATAAGATTCGATCAAGAGATGGATATTACGAATTGTACCCTAGAACTGTCAGCTCTACAGAAAAACGGAGAAAATCCTCCAAAGCCAAGCCTCGTATGTATTAAAGAGGTCTGTTCACAATGGTGAAGCTAAAATAACATAAGCACTTTTAAAAACAAGTGGATATACTACACAGTTACGTAGAGATACAGCATCTGTTAATACTATAATACCAACTAATATATATATATATATATATATATAACAGAATCATTGATACAAAGGGGGACCCCTTTATGCGCCACACAAATCAATGAATTTGTGTGTAGGCTGGAATGCCGTCTGGATGCTCAAGCTGTTAGGATAACAGAAAACAAGTGATTTTCGGGGGGGGGGATTCGCATTTTGAAGAATCATTACATGGAAGCGTTGTATAACAAGGTAAAACTACCGCTGAATGATGCTACATTACTGATGCTAACTTGAAGGTAACTGAACTTCACTGGATCAGTACACTTGGCCTCTATTCGTAATTAGTAAACAATATTTCCTTGCGAGTATAGGAGAGCTTAACGTCAAAATTAACAAGTAAAGTTATCACACATTTTTCTCGAAGGTCGATTTATGTGTAAGAGGGGTTCTACAGAGCTGAGAATTGAACTTATAAATGGAAGACAGAAAGAAAACATTTTGGTTGGCACCGTGGCATTTAGTTTAACCGACATAAGGGCATCAACAATTATAATAGTGTGGATCAAAGATGACTGAAACAATATGGCTGGAGGGATGGGAACGGAACGAGTTATGGTAAGAGTTTGATCGTCAACTAGTACTCGGAAGTTGTAACTTAGCAAGGTTTGAGTTGCTTAAATAGTCGTAATGAAGTTCAGAATCAGTTGAGGCGTTTCACGGTGGAATATACAGTTAAGAATGTTACCAAAGAAATGATACATAAAGAGGAACTCTCAATCTACACTTAGAAAATTTACGTGTCGATTTCCTAACTAAATACTTTTACCAAGCATCTGCAGTAACCTTGAAGCGAAAACAAAAAGAAATCTCAGTTTTTAAAGGAGAGTTAGGAATGAAGCAAATATATAGTTTAGTGATGAATTATATTTCTTATATCAGTTAACATACTAATTTTGCGAATTCCATACATAGATTAGACTACTGATTAACTACTAGTTCAATTTATTTGAAATTATTGATTGATCAAACTTTAAAATGATTTGTAATTTACTATTATTTAGGATGACATCCAATTAGTGGTTGATGAATGAAGTAATCTGCTTGCAGTCTCATTTTTTTCCTTGTATCGACAGAGCAGTCTCGTCAGATTGTAATAAGTAGCGGGTAGACGTATATCGCAGTCAGCAGGTAGCCATATAAGTGGCAGTAATCAACATTTAGTCCAAGTAACAAACTTAACAAATAAGTTTGTTTAAAAAGACCACAAAAAGGACTAGACATATGCTACAAGGACGAAAATGTGGGTGACAAAACTACACACTATTGAAGCCGAAGAATTTAAAGAAATATTGAAATTATTGCAAAATTAACGTGCCAGATTTTGCATGATGTTACACAAGGTCTTATTTTATAGACTATGAGTATCACTCAGATTTGAACCAAGGAGTCTTCATTTCTAGACATATCTCAAACCAGTAATCAGTGACTTCACCAACTGACTTCGCATCTTGCCTTCGTCACGACCACGTTTCCTTCAACCTACTTTTACGTTAGCTAACAATGCGTGCAGGTATGGACGGTAGCTGGATATATAAAAAAAAACACTGATGCGTTACACTTCGTTGAGTATAAGCCGCCGACCGGGATTCTCTAAAAGGTCAGTCAGTCAGTTAGATGCAACGTAGAACTTCGTACGTAAGTACATCAGTTCATGTTGCCATACCACATCAGCACAGAGATGTAATTGTCAATTCAAATCCGACAGTAGAAGAGGTAGTTAAGGTATTAGAAGTAATCGGAGAGGTTAGGATTAGAAGATATTATTCAAGAAGTATGATTCAGTGAGAAAAGTTTAGAAAGTCAAAACTAGAGGGGTTGAAGAATCCAGAAGATTAGCATTTGAGAGAACACAAAGAATAAATGCACCGGCGCCATTGCAAACGGTTTTCAGCCATGTCATTCAGGGTCTCTAACCATCGATTATTATCATCTCGCGGACCCCAACCAGGTAGTCGACAATTACCGACATGGCTAAGTCCACTCGTCAATGACTTCATGGATTTCTGCCATGTTTTGGTCTGGTCAACACTAGCTTTCTTCCAACCTATTCCTACACTACAAAACAAAGCTCGTCGAGGCAGTCGGTGGTTAGGCATACGCAGCACATGTCCTAACCACCTCAACTGATGAAGTTTCATTACTTCATCTATTGATCTGCCATTCTTACCTAGCACCCGTTTCCTAATAACAGCGTTGGTCACTCGAGTGGCCCCGGATATACGAGCAATGCTTCGAACACACCTATGATCGAACACCAGTAACCTATGAATATCTTCTACTCTCAATGGCCATGTTTCACAGCCATAAAGTAAGACGGAGCGAACTACTGTGCAGTACACTCGTCCTTTAGTCAGCAAACGGATATCTCGCCCACACCATAAGTGACGCAAGTTGGCAAAAGCAAATCGACCCTCACATATCCGTGCAGAGATTTCGTCACACACCAGGCCGTCAGCACTGATGAGACTCCCGAGATAAGTGAAGCGGTCGACATGTGCTACCACCTTTACTCCCTATCACTAGTTCAGGTGCCGATGCAACCCAATCCTGAAGCAACATTTTGCATTTTGAGGAGGAAAACCGCATTCCGAACATGCTTGCATTGTTGCTTAGGGTAGTCAAAAGATTACATTTTGTCAGCGTCTTCACCAAGTAGGACTATGTCATCGGCATATTGTAAGTCAATAAGCGATTTTCCTGGTAAAAGGTCTACTCCTGAAAATTCAGATGACGATAAGGTTATTTCTGGGAGCATGTCTATGATAAAATTAAGCAAGAATGGAGAGAGTGGACATCTCTGACGAACACCACTTGAAGTAAAGAATTCCGGTGACAGTTCGCTATAAGCTCTCACTTGACCAGTAGTGTTCGAGTAGAGAGCTTGTATAAGGTTAATTTACTTCTTTGGTACACATTTCAATGACAGACACTGCCACCGAACCTCACGATCCACTGAGACAAATGGCGCCTTGAGGTCCAAGAAAACAACTATTGTAAGACGCCTACATGTGTGTCTGTGTTCCAAGACCTGTCGTTGTGTGAAAATGTGGTCTATACAACCACGTCCAGGTCGAAAACCAGATTGGTTTTCTCTAGTCTGCTCTTCACGGGCTTTCGTTAAGCGTCGAAGTATTATTGAGGCCAATATTTTAGATACTATATTAGTTAGACTGATTCCCCTGTAGTTGTCACAAGAAGACTTGTGTCCTTTTTTGTAGGTTGGGACAATCAGTGATTGAGACCAGTTGGATGGGATTACATCCAGTTCCCAGATTCTACCTAAGATCTCAGTCAACCTAGTTGCTAAAACTGGACCAACATCCTTAAATATCTCAGGGGTCAGTCTATCAGGACCTGAGGCTCGCCCTCGCTTCAGATTTCCTAACGCTTTCTCAACTTCATAAAGAGTCGGGGAACTTACGTCGATTTGCCATTCAGGATAACTGGAGATCGTGGGTAACCGAAGAGTGGCTCGAGGCGAGTTGAACTGATCCTTAGAGTGTTCTGCCCGTCGATCCAGTCTCCTGGATTGAGAATAAATAATAGTTCCATCATTTTCCGAAATAGTCTCACTCACATTTGGGTTCCTAATACCAGTTTCCTTGATGAGTCTAAATAGTTGTCTACTGTTGCCGATCGCCGCTGCCTTTTCCATCTCTCTAGCTTTCTCGACCCACCACTGTTCTCTAACATTGCGTAGGCTTTTTGTCAACCTACGTCTAAGCTGACTCCGCTACTCATCGCACTCAGAGCCAGATGGGATGAGTTTTCGGGCATCCATCAGTTCGGGAGATGCTACTGATATCTTCGGCTTCATTCTAGCCTTATGGTCAACCTTACTAGCAGATATCACTGCTGTTTCCACAGCCTTTTTGATATCATTCCAACCTACCTCCGGATGAGAATCGCTTAGATGGTCGCCTAACTGTCTTTCTAGTTGTTCCTGAAATATTTTCTTAGTTTGATTATCATTAAGTAAAACCCTAAGAGGCTTTCTTACGGTGTCTTTCCTACGCCCAGTAAGCCTCAAACTTATACGCGCTCGCACTAGGGCATGATCTGAATCCAAACATGTGCCC